GGAGCTGTGGTTTGGTCTGTTTCGGCTCGTTTACACCCCAAGTGTGGACGCTGATGGTGTGTGCCAAAATGCACGGGCGTAGAGTTCGTGACAAGAATACTATGGCTAATGCATTCTTGTCTGCCAACAGGTATGACTCTCCACATCGAAAAGAAATGTATTGATGCAGTAGACAGGTCGCCGAATCAAATTTTTCTCCCTTAGCAGGATAGCGCTTACAAGTGTGGTGAAACAACTAAGTAGAAATACAACATCTCTCCTTAGACAGACTTCAAAAAGAGGGGCCACAAGAACAAGTACGTCATAAGTTGTCAAAAGCAGTTTGACATTCATTTGTCCACTAGAAATCGATATTCCAAGCTTCTCCTAGTATCTTGAAGAATCACAAATACATATCTCTAGAATGAGCCAAGAAGCGAGATAGGGTGGCTATGCGACTGTTCAAGCGATGTACTTCCTTAATATTCCATAGGGGCATCATATATCTCAATGTATTAGTTTTCTCAGGATTCACCTCGATTCCACGATGAGTGATCATGAATCCCAAAATCTTTACCAACATAACTCCAATGGTGCATTTGGTGGGTTTGAGGTGCATGTTATAATGACGAAGAAGTTGGAGACATTCTTTCAGAAGAGAGACTTGTTGGGATGCCTCCAAACTTTTCACCATCGTCTCTCAACAACATACACATCCATTATCTTCCCGAGGAGGTCTTTGCAGATCTTGTTCATGAGGTGGGATTAGGTCACACCAATGTTTTTCAACCCAAACAACATGAACTGATAACATTATAGGCTCTTATTTCTTTGGAAGGAGGTTGTCTCCTCGTCTATCGGATCCATATTTATTTGATTGTGCCCCAAATATGCATGCATGAAACAGAGCTTCTAGTGGCCTAACATGGCATCAACAAGTTGAATTATATGTGGCTCATTTGGGCAAGCATTATTGAGGTCGGTGTAGTCAACACTCATTTGCAAAGGTTCACCAGCTTTCTTCACCATGATAACATTTGCCAGCTATATAGGGTTGTGTACCTCTCATATGCACCTATCTTTCAAAAGCTTGCTAACTTCTTGTTTGATTTCTTGCTTGTAGTATGAAGCAAAATTTCTCTTCTTTTGGACGACTAGCTTGAAGGTTCATTCCATCATTAAGGAGTGCCTCATCACTTCTGGATCAACTCTAAACATATATGCTTGAGTTCAGATGAAAATTTCTCGGTTTCTTTAGAGAAGATCTACATACTCTAGTTTTTGCTCATCAAAGAGTAGAGAACCAAGTTGCACTATTCGTTACAGATGATCTCCTGAGAGCAGAACATAGATCAAGTTTTCTACGATAGAAGCTTGGAAGGCTAGGCACCTTCGTGGGTAGGAAAATGTCTACTAGGGTGGAAAGCGGTAGAGACTCGATGTGTTTGGCTCCATGGATGTCCATTAGAATGTTGGGTGTTAGAGTGAGATACTTTGTTGTTGTGAATCTTGCATCTAGCGGTCATTTTGCAAGTTTTGCAAGTCCTTTAGTGGTGGGACTATCTTTTCCCACGGATGTTGTCAAATTGATGCATTCTATAAGATTCATGGTAATAGAGTTATTATTTAGTGTTTTAACATTGCACAAAAATCCAAAATACACTAACAAAATAAATGTGAGAGTTAGAAACAATAGAAGTTTTTATGTGGAAAACCTAAAAAAGGAAAAAACCAAAAGGCACGGCCTAATCATAAATAATCAATTATAGCTTGAAGAGCAAAGATGCAAATCCTAATCCCACAAGAGGGAAATGGCCACTCAGTTATAGAGTTTGTATGTAGAAGAGCTCATTGCACAACGATCAAGAATGGTTGCAGTTGCTAAAACTTCATTGCGTCATCTTCGAAGTTCGTTGTTGCGAGGTGTTCGGGATGACATGCTACTCCATAGAATACTCTGTTGCTTTGCAACTTTGGTTGCTACTTTACATAGTGCTTTGTTGCTCTACAACATTGGTCTTTAGTTCACACAATACGCTGTTACATAATAATGTTGGTTGTTGTTCAACAAAGGTGCTTTGCTCCAATGGGTAGGAGGCAGACGACGGTGGCTGATGAGCTTTGGTCGACAATGGTCAACGGTGCTAAAGGCAAGAAGTTTTCAATAGATTTCAATGCAGAACATTGGACTTCAACTCCTATTCTCAATCATTCAGCAAGCTCAGGTCTTAATCCCTCTTTCATGAAGGAAGTGTTGCTTTATTTATAGAAGCTAGGAGAGTCTCCCTAAAAATAAGAAAATAATCTAAATCATTTCATCGGACGATCCAAAGAGATTCCCTCAATTGAATGACGTTCTTATGACATCTAGGCACCTTAAAGTGTTAGAATTGAGTGATCTTAGATTTGTTGGACTCCTCTCATCGAAACCCTCGATCTGCCCAAAAGGTTGTCAAATTTGAAATCCAATTGACCTTTCAATTAGGCACTAGTAACTTCCAAAAAACTATTTAACAACTTAATCAAGGCTCGATTTGACTCAGATTGGGTCAATGTTAGTGTCATTGCGTTCAACTCATCGAACCAATCATTTTAACTATAATTTTGCTAAAATCGAAGCTCCAGACAAATTTTAATTGAAGTTTGAATATTCTTTATTAAAATTATTACTTCGAGATTCGTATCATAATTATTAATGGTGCATTAAGATGTATTATGAACCTTCTCATTAAGAAAGATATATTTCAGTGAAATTTACTTATGTAGCACATAATTCTTATTTACTGACATATCTATCTTTGTGTGTGTGTCTAACAATTTGATGATTTAAATTTATGCATAAACAATTATTTATATATTTTTTGAAGTGATGATAGTGTTATTTTTAATGTGCTATTAAAAATATGAGTATCATGTGTGTAAATATAAAAAGTTTAAGGGTGAGACTTATAAATAAATAAGAAATGGATTCTATGTATGTAAATGTCCCTAAATTTCATAACTCACAAATTACACTTTTTAATTTTTAACTTCAAATAAACTAAAAAAAAAAAAAAATTCTATTCAAGTAAAAGAAAGAAATTTGAATGCTAAATTTTAAACTGAAATTAAAAGCTACAGTAACTCTGATGCATTTATTGTAACTTCTATTCTAGCTAGGGGTGTAAACGAACCGAATACGAACGAACAAAGCTTGTGTTCGTGTTCGGTTCGTTTAAAATTTAGTTTGTTTGAAATAAGCTCGTGTTCGTTTCTTAACGAACGAGCCGAACACGAACCGAACACGAGCTGTTCGTAAATTTTTTATATATAATTATTTTATATTATTTTATATTTCAAACAATAACGATTCGAACACGAACGAACGCATCACTGTTCGTGTTTGGTTCGTTTAACTAACCGAACGAAAAAAATTTGTTCGTGTTTGTCTCGTTTACTTATCGAACAAATCGAACACGAACTGTTCGCGGACAACGAGCTTTTTTGACAGCCCTAATTCTAGCCCTACAATTCAGTGAGATCTTGAATCAAAACAATTTGCAGTAAGAAAATCCTTGTTTACTATGGTATGAAAAAGCTTACCAGGAGCGATGTAACCATGCGTCCCAGGAACAACGTGAGTAACCGAATCTGGTTCGGTGGAACGATGAAGGATCTTCGCCAGGCCAAAGTCCGCGATCCGCGGCCTGAAATCGTCGTCCAGAAGTATGTTGCTGGACTTGACATCACGGTGCAGTATCGGTCGATCGCAGCCATGGTGGAGATACTCCAGCCCATGTGCTGCACCAACAGCGATATCAAATCTGGTCTCCCAATCCAACTTCCCCAATTTGTCAACGCCCGCCGAGTGCAGCCGGTCCCATAGGCTCCCATTGGGAAGATATTCGTACACAAGCAGGCTGGAATCCTCGCCGGTGATGCTGCAGTAGAGCTTCACGACGTTCACATGCCGGATCGCACTCAGTGTGTCGACTTCTGCGTCGAATTCTCTCGAGAGTTTCAATGATCGACGCTTCAGCATCGCTGCTCCGTCGGACACGGCGGCGCCGCCGTAGCAGGGGGTCGAGATCGGCGACGACATGACCGCTGCTCAGGACGACGCGGTAGACTTCGCCGGAACCCCCCTTGCCGACGAGGTTTTCTGGCCGGATCGAACTGATAATCTCTTGCTCATTGAAGGTGAGGATGCTGAACGACTTCATGTTCCAGGAATCGGACGAGAGACGGAGGGCGCGGCTGTTGCGCTTCCTGAAGAAGATGAGCAGAGCGCTAGCGAGAAACAGGACAAGAATGATGAGGAAGGATATCAGGACGAAACGGATCTTATCGCTTCTTGATGAAGGCGAAGAGCATTGCTGGAGATGGTTAATGTTGTCGCCGCAGAGACCGGGGTTGCCGATGAAACTCTCGTTGTATGCGTTGATGGAGAGTTGGGGAGGGACCTTGCCGGTGAGGAGGTTGTTGGACAGGTCCAGTAAGCTGAGCTTTAGGGAACCCAGGCTTGCCGGAATCTCGCCGGAGAGGTGGTTATCGGATAGATTCAATGTGTTCAGATTTGGAAGAGAGCCGAAGCTGGAAGGAATCGGACCGGAGAGTGAATTTCTTGTCAGGATTATCGAATTGAGCGCAGAGCAGGAGGCGATGGAGTCGGGGATATTGCCGGTGATGTGATTGTTGTCGAGATTCAAGCTCGAGAGAGCCTTCAGTTTCCCGATGCTCGGTGGGATCTGACCATATAGTTGGTTCGAACTGGCGTCGATTGTAACCAGAGACGATGCCTCGGAGATCTCTGTCGGGATCTCGCCGGAGATCTGGTTCCCGGAAAGGTATAGCTGGAATAGACATTTTGCCCTACCAATATCCTTCGTGATCTCGCCTTCGAATCTGTTCGTTGCGAGGTCTATAATATTGACGATCGGAAGACCCCAAATCCCGGCTGGAACACCG